TGGTCCCACTATCTCTGGAGATGTTGATAATAATCATAACCCTCTCCTCATGTCTGTTCCCCAGCTAGACTTAGATATCCTTGAGGACAGGAACTGTAGCATGGTTCCATAGAAAACCAGTTCCTATCAAGGTACCCTGCTCATAGATGCTCAGTAAGTTGATTACGTGAAAGAAACAATAACAGTAATCCTGCCAATGCTGTTAGCAAACAACAACAACAACAAACCCAAAACTTCTCCATATGCTATGTCATGTGATACCCATGACCAATAAGCAACAGAGGCATTGGCATGTTGGGGCCGTCTTTACCAACCCAGTCAGTTCACTAGAACCCATCATTAAACATTCAGGAATTTGTTATATCGTTTGCAACTTGAAATTGAACATGGTAGGGATATTTATACTCCAAAGATTGAGGCGTTAGGGCTTGCATTTGATAGGTTTATTAGCAGATCACTGACAGAAGGTGTGTTCATGTAAGTTTTGCTTCTGGATAGATGGTCATTGTAATATGCTATGCAAATTTCAGGGAGATCCACTGAGGCCCTCATAGTCTCTGAGTACCATGACAGTGAGGTGCTGAGTTCAAATGGTATATTCAGCAAGTATGCTGTCAAGTGTCAGCTATGTGGCAGACATGTCCCTGCATGCCAAACCTGATTGCAAAATTAGCGGCGGGTTAAGATGAAGTTTCTTCTCTTCAAAGTACTTCTCATCAGGCAAGACTGGCCCCTGTCTCAAGTCTTGGTTCTCCTGCTACCCAGAACCCTGATGAGTCAGCACCTAATACCTCACTACTGTATGAGTGAGCTCTGAGAATGGCCCTGCTGCCACACATCTAGCGTCCTGAGCATGAGGCCAGCCTGTTACATTTACCTCTGCCTTTTAAGGATTTTGTAGCTCTCCTGCCTGGGACTGCTCCATACAGCTTCTTAAGAAATAGGAATCAAAGCTGAACTTCAGCCCACCTTGGGCTGATCCTTCCTTCCTGCACAAACTTAATGTCTACTGAGGTCACATTGTAAATAGCGAACAATCAGACTATAGTAGGTAGCACACAGACATGTCCTCTGTCTGTGAATTTCCTGTCATGTGTTGAACTTTAACACTCCTCCTATATCAAATCCATATGTTGAAGTCCTAACTCTCAGTATCTTAGAATATGACCTATTTGGTAATAGTCTTTCATTGTTGGTTTTAATTGCAACTCTCCACAAATTAGAATCACTTGAGTAGGGAGCCTCAACTAAAGAATTGTCCTGATTGCCTTCATTGATATGGGAACACCCACTTCAAATGTGGGTGGTGCCTTCTGGGAGCAGCCCAGATAAATGGGTCAAGGCAGAACAAAGACTATTCACCTTTTATTGCTTGGCCTTCCTTCTTGCCACTGAGTCAATTTGTCCTGTTGCTGCTGCTGATTCCTTGGCTAACACTGGAGCTAGTATTTCTGGGCTTCTATCATTGACTGAGGACCAGTGGCTCTTCAGGAACCCTCTGAGTTTTCAGTACCATATTGGGAATGCTGAGGTACCCAGCCTATGGACTGAGCAACTACTGGAGTCTTGGCCTCTCCAGTGAGATAGCCACTGTGGGATTACTCCACTTGATGAGGCACCCGCCCAGCCTCAAGGACTGAGCAACCATCAGGTTCTTAGCTTCTCAGGTGTGATTCAGCTGTTGTTGTAATTTTACAATAAGTTGATTAATACATTCTTTTAATTTTATCCATTCATTTTGTCAGTTCTGTTAATCTAGAGAACCCTGACTAACAGAGGGTCCCTGAAGTTAGTAATATTAGGATGAAGTCATAGCAGCATAAGATGGAGTCCTAATCCAAAATGATCAAACTCCTTACAAAAAGGTGAAATTTGGGCACAAATATGCACACAGTAAGAATGCAATCCAGACAGAGAGTTGGTAATATTTTAAAGACCATCATCAAAACACCAGCTATGAAGAGAAACCCATGGACCAGATTCTTTCTTATGGTCATCAGAAGGAACCAACTATTTGAGCACTTGATTTGAGACTTCTGACTTCCAAGATGTGAGCTAATAGATTTCCATAGCTTAAGTCACCTAGTTTGTATGATTTTGTTATAATAGCCAGTGTTACAGTAAGTTTTCAACCATCCAAACAGGAGCCTGGTGACTAAACGTGGCATCACAGAGAGCCACATGTTAGAGTTAGATGCACAGTTAACGTAAGAGGCATTGGTTTTAGGGTCCAGTCAGAATGGACCTGAATGAGCATTTCGGGCAGTTCTAAGTGAAAACTGTCTGGTTCTATGAGCTTCACACAGCTGACTACAGACAGTGGCTAGACAACCCAGGGTCAGGGACAGGACAGCAGCAAGTTGCTTCATCACCAGAATGCTGACCTTGAGTCTGGCTTGTGATTCCATTCCAGACACAAGATGCCTGTCAGCAGACTCATGAGGAAGGCGTCCTTAAAGGCAGAATGGTGGTGGTGCGTGGAGAGTGATGACATATCTCTGGGACTTTATATATCAATATCAAATTTTTCTGCTAATCAGAATATTATTTTCAGCAAGCCTGTCATGAAGTTTGATGTAGATGATCAAGAAGGGATGAAATGAAGCAATAGCGATTTCTGATCTCACATCCTTCATTTAAATTCCATATGGGCAATGCATGAATTCAGGATTCATACAGCAGTTTCCCTTTGGATGATTCTGGGATGCTCCAAATACAGTGAATGGGATGGAGCAAACACTGACACAGCACAGAGCTCCTTCCCTCTATTCTAACTCTTTTTCCAAGCATCCTTCTTATCTGAGGCTGTGTTGAGACGGCATGGCTCCCTGAACAATAATAAGTTGGCATTCTACATTATCTGATCCTCTGCCATACTCCCAAGTGCTAATGGAGTTTCTATTTCTTTGGGATGAAGGACTGAAGTCTTGCTGAATTACAGAACCAGACTGTGGGAGTGTGGATGCTCAGAATCCGCAGTGTCCTGATCCCTCAGGGCCTTCCCTGGACTTGAGAAGCTAAGCACTCACATTCATCCCTACCTTTTCACACACTGAACACTTTACCTGTGCAAACATTACTAAAGAAAGAGTCTAGCCTAAGGTCACACAAGAGCAGACATGCTTATGCTAAGGAGAGAAGGACGGTGTTTCTGTTCTGGTTCTCCTAATGTCACTGCTATTATCCAGATGATCAGAAGTATAGCCTTGAGAAGCCATCATGGTACATTCTCCATGCCCCTGAAACTGGCAGCAAAGCATAGTTTTAGATGTTCTCCCATTGCCCCTACATGGGCCTATCAAGTCACATGTTCTCAGTTCTCTAGTCAAACAAGACCAAGTAAAGTACCCTTTAGAAGAGCCTACATCTTAGAGGGCATCCTTAGCATCCATACAGGGTGGAATGATCATATCGGCCTCTTTGTCTAGAGTAGAAAAAGTACTAGAAAGCCATGGGATAGCACTATGGTGAAGGAATTTTCTGAGTTTCCTTCCCTCTCTGACTGCCTGTCTAAGTGGGATGCTGCAGACACCCGGCTTCCTGATTGCTGTCTAGAGCCCTGGTGCTACCGAATTGATGATGTTCTTCCTTCTACATTATCTGTTTCCTTCAGGGGCTAAGTCTTCCAAGGCTGTGATTTGTGTCACTTTTGTCTATAGGCCATCAATTCTCCTTGCCGCAACAAAGAGTATTTTATCTTGCCACCCAGTAAACTTGAGTGCCACAGAGGGAACAAGTTAGTGTGGGACAATCTCTGTGACTTTCTGTGACTTACCATAGAGAACCCTGGTACTTCAGTCTTCTTCTTCCTGAATCTTCCCTTTGGTGTCTACATAAGGAGCTGGTTTCTTAACATGTAGAAAACTTACATGTCTTAGAGCATGCTTTGATAGCTGTAGTCCCTCGCTTTCATCCTCTCTGTTTTGTTTTTGTCTCTGTCTTTCTCCGACTCGCTGTCTCTCTGTCTTTTTCTCTGTGTCTCTCTCTTTCCCTCTCTCCCCTTCCATTCATATGTGTATGCTTCCTTTGCATGTATACACATTTGTATATCCACATATATACAGATACAAACTTGGGTCATTGCCTTTGTCTATAGCTATATTTATGGTTATACGTATAATTATATTTTTAATTTTATATACTCAGAAATAATCTGTGAAATTGTGTATGCTGTGAATAAATGCAGAGAATAGAACCCAGTTTTATTCTGTGTATATTGGCAGGGGTTGGGGGGGCGAGTTACTACTGAAAATATCAATTCTATCACAAAAAGATAGACCTGATTTCTAACTATTCAACCTTGTAATAGGTTAAATGATAACAAACCGTTTATTGATTTTGTTTTTAAAAAAGTAATAAACAGAAACATGTACCAATTGAAAGAGCCAGGCAATTCAATTATAATCAGGAAAATGATGAGCCTGAACAATGCTGCCTTCGTGTTTGGGGGGATAAGTGTTGAAATGCCACATACATAACAATGCGGCGTTTGCTTTCTCATTTTAAAGGTGCCAATACTAATCACCTCGTATTTGAAGTATACATAACAATGCGGTGTTTGCTTTCTCATTTTAAAGGTGCCAATACTAATCACCTCGTATTTGAAG